CACATCCGCTCCACGGCCTCTCTCTACACATGGCTTCATCACAATATGGTGGTTGGCTTCCCCTATGTCTGAGTTAGCCAGTGCTAATACAACAGAGATGCAAGTACATGGCTTTAACCAACAAAAATTTATTCTGTTACAGGGCAGGAGGCCAAGCCCCAATTCAGGACACCAGCTCTAGGAAAAGACGTTCTGTGTCGGCTCTGGATGAAGGTCTCTGTCTCCTTTCAACATCTGTGGGTCCAGCGCCCCTTGAAGATCTCCATGTGTCTTGGCATCTACCTTCCCCTGGGTCTAGGAGCTTCTCAGCTCAAGGACCCCAGATCCAAAGAGCAGGCTCCAATCCTGGCTCTTCTTTTTCGGTGGCAGTAGATCCCTCCTCTCTGCAGTGAGGGTCACTCTCCCAGGGAAGCCCCCTTCACATTGGATCAAGACTATGACCTGAGTAAGGGTGTTGTCTCCCATTTTAGTCCCCTTAGAACTGACTGGCTAGTTACATCAGAATCACACCATGGGGAAGTATTACATCATTGCACAACTGCCAAATTACATCACCAAACATAACTGCCAAACCACAGATAATCATGGCCGGGTTAAGTTGACACATATTTTGGGAGGGACACAATTCAATGCCTGACATCACACAAGTGATCCCAGAGAGAGGAAGAGAGAGCAAAGGGGGTGGTAGCCCCAGTCTTTTTATGACCTAATCTCAGAGATGCCATTCCTTCACCTTTGTTTTATGTTAATAGAAGCAAGTCCCTGAGTCCTGCCCATACACAAGGGGAGGGAATTGCACAAGGGTGTGAATTACAGCAAGTAGGGCCATTGGGGGTCATCTCCAAGACTAGCTATTGCAAAAGAACCCTTTATTAATGAGATTCCTTTTCCTTTTCATTCCTGGAGGATGCAGAGAGTGTACTAGGCTGCTAAACAAAAGGTTAGATGTTTGAGTCCACCCAGAAGTAACTTGAAAGAAAGGTCTGGTGATCTACTTTCTAAAAAAGGCAACCTTCAAGAATCCTATTGGACACAGTTCTATTCTGACACATACAGGGCTGCTATGAGTTGGAGTCAACTTGACTACAACTGATTGTGGTTACTATGTGCTAAATTCTGTGTCTGGGAGCTCTTGGCCCAGGTCCCATGGGAGACAGAGCTGGGTACCAATATACCTAGGCAGTCTGAATCTACTAGTACCTCCGTGGGGAAAAGATGAGGCTTTCTGATCCCATAAAGATTTATAGCCTCGGAAACCCTATACAGGGTCAGTATGAGATGGAACCAACTCAGTGGCACACAACCACCACCACCATGTATGCAGAATTGAGCAGAGGGAGTGCCTGGGGCCATGGAGAGCCCAAGGCAGTAGGGAAGGCCTTCTCAAGTAAATACGCAGTGGGTACAGGGCCACAGTGGTACCAAACCCAATACAGTCTCTGCCTGTATCCCCCAAAACCTGGGAAGGGACGTTTGTGGGGGAAGGGAGGTAGAAAAAACACAAAAATGGAAAGGCAAGAAAGCAGACATATGAAACGATTCCAAATAAGGCATGTTACTAGCGACTACAAGCCTAGTTTTGCAGTCAAGCCGAATTGGTTCAAATCCTGCACCAGGGGAATCCGACATAACCACACTATGCCTTAATTTGCTAATCTGTGTATTAGACACAAGGGAGTAACCACCTGTGATGAAATGAGTTCTTCATGTGGCCTTTTCCTTTGGAAAAACCTTTGGAGAGATTTGTCCCCTTTGCCCTAGTTTTCTACTCAAAGAGTTTGTTACTTTTGTTTAGGTTGATTGACATTTCCTGGGCAAGCTAGAAACAACTGGATGGTTTGATACTTTTTGTCAGAATCAATGCTGCAGTTAGTCCTGTGATTGGTGTGCACCTCAGAGGGATTTTAGTCAATGTAATATACAAATGAAAAGACTACACTTCAAGGAGATTGGTCAATTTGTGGCCCTGCCTTGAAATTGACAAGGAGTTTATATATGCTCCAGGCCCACAGAGGTTTCAGTAAGAAGCAAAGTACAAAAGATCAGAGACAAGAAGAGGAAGCTGCCAGGCCTCCTAAAAGAGTCCTGGAAGGACACTGCTCTGCTCAGAGGAGGCGGGAGAGGTAGGAACCTGCTGCTAAGACTCAACAGACTCTACCCATCTCCACATGGGGCCTTGGTCCTCTGTACCTCAGCTGCCCTCTGGGTGACAAGACATCCTCCCAGGGTGACTTTTCAGGAACAATGTATTGATTCCCCACTTCGCACTGGACCTGGGGCTCAGACAACTAGAGTGATCAGCCCAGTTCACTTGGGGTCCTCATTCCAGGAGTGGACTTTGTTTCCAAGCCAGGTGAACAGTAAGGGATGAGCTCTGCCTGACCTGGGCGATGCAGGGGCTGCCAGAAGGATCTCAGGCCCCACCAAAGGGAGTTTTCCTGTCATCCTGGTTATGAGCTGGATCATTTAAGCAGTGAAAACTCAACAGTAGGGAGGCTAAAGGCAGAATCCTGAACAACTGCAAGGGAGAGTGTGTGTGCGTGGCCAAAAGGAGGCCTGTCCTGAAGGAGCAGAGATGAAACCTGTGTAGCAGAGAGAGGGTATGAATGGTAGAGAGGAGGGTCTGCTTGCTTACATGCATAGAGAGCTATCCGGCACTGAAGAAGGCAGGATGTGCTCTCCACTTTGAGTAGCCTCCCAAACTCTGCCTTGCATGCTTCCTAGTCCTGAGTTGTATCCTGTTGCTTCCTTAAGTAAACAAAATTTAATCTGGTCAATGTGCTCTGTGTGCCCACTGCAATGAATTAGTAAACCTGGCAGAGAAGCAGAGAGTAGCGGTGAGGGGTGGGGAGATGGCTGGTGTTCAAAATCGTAAAGAAGTTGGGATAGTGGGGTTGTTATGTCTGACCTCCATCTCAGGGGGACCAACTGTAGGCCGATTCTGGTTCTTATATCTAAGGGATCTAGACAAAGTCGTAGCACTCCTAGAAAATACCACTACTTGGGGTTGGGTGGACTCAATTAGGACACATGTATAAAACACTTAGCAGGGCACTTGGCAGGGAAGGAACTCTTGGTACCGTAGCCTTTTTTCCACAGAGTTATAGGGAGTGGGTTAGCCTGACATTACAGAGCAGGAAAACCCAATGGGCAATACTAGGCAGAAGGATCTGTGTGCCCTGGGCAAAGGGAACAGCCTGTGCCTGAAACCACAAGTTGACTTGGGGGCCAGATGGGGATAGGGACAGACTAGCAGGGCCCTTGAGCACCCAGCTGAAAGGCCAGGTCTTTCTCCTATAGGAGATATAGGATTCAGGAAGGTTGTAAACAGAGGGCTAGGTCAGATTCCAATGTCGGGTGAGGGGCAGGAGCAACTGGAGGGTAAGAGACTGAGGCTGTGGACATGGGAGAAAGCATAGGTTCCAGAAAGTTGTTTGGTCAACTTGCTGAGGGACTCCTTTTAGCTCCACAATGCTGCTGCCCCTCCCAGAGACTCACTTTCCATATCCTTAAAGTGGGTTCAGTGCCATCACTTCCCATTAGGAGAGGATGCTCTGGAGGGCACTGGGGGAGCGCTTACATGTAGGGCTGTTAGAAAGTCTGCTACAATGAGGATCCCTAGTAATGCCTACTTCCCTCAGGACTCCTACTCCCCCTCAAGTCAGAGGACACCAACAACTCCTCTGAGAAAGCCCATCAGAGACAACCTAGAGACACTCCAAGGATCCTAGCACATGATACAGAGTCCCCCAGGGAACCCAGCGTACAGAGACCCCAAAACAGGTCCTGGATTATAGACCCTCCCAAGTTCTCCAAGAGTGCCTTTGCCATGCAAAAATCCAAACTCATTGCAGTCTAGTCAGCCCGGACTCATGTAGTTCCCCCATATGATATGGAGCAGAATTCCTCCAAAGGGTTTTCTTGGTTGTAATCTTTACAGAAGTGGAAGAAAACAGCCAAGGCTTTCTTGTGCTGTATTGCTGGTGGGTTCAAATTGCCAACCTCTAAGTTAGTGTTGTTGTTGTTAAGTGTTGTCAAGTTGGTTCTGACTCATAACAAAGCTTTCTGAGGAGCAGCTGGTGAGTTCACACTGCCAACTTTGCTATTCAAACAGCTCTTGCAGTCCAGTGCTTATCCCACAGCACCACTCCAGGACTCCTTTAGTTGTTGTTAAGTGCCATTCAGCTGATTCCGACCCATAGCGACCTTGTATAGGGTTTCCAAGGAGCAGCTGGTGAGCTTGAACCACCCACCAACCTTGCAGTTTAAACGACTTTGCAGTGTGACGCATTAGCCCACAGTGCCACACCAGGACTCCCCTTTAGTTAGTGGGTAATTGCAAATGGTTTCCATCACCAAGGGCCTGGAGGATACTGCAGAAATCCAACAACCCTTACAGGCACCTGAGGGAGGCCCCTTTCAAGATCCTTACATAGAGGGTTGGTGGTTAAGTGCCGTGGAGTCGATTCCAACTCATAGCAACCCTGTATAGGGTTTCTGAGGCTGTAAATCCTTCTCGCGCGGAACAGCTGTTAGTTTCGAACTGCTGACCTTGAGGTTAGAAGCTCAACTCTTAACCACGAAACTATCAGAGTCCCTGAAGAGGCCTTAAAGACACTCACCACGTCCCCACTGAGACCCCTAAGCCTCCAAGACTCTCCAAGAAACCCCAACTCCCTGGAGCCCCTTCCACCTGCCCAAAGATCCCCAAGCTGTCCCTAGAGCCTGCCCCCCAAACCACTGAGGTCTCCCAGACAGCCAAACAACCCTGAACACCCTGGAACCTACTAAGCTCCTACTAACCCTTCCAGATTGTCGCCTGCAACTCCCCAAAGAGCTCCAAAGCTCTGCCCTCAGTTCCCAGAGCCACGCCCCCAGCCCCATTATTGTTGTGGTTGTTATATGTCCTCGAGTCTCTTAAGAGTACTCTAAGTTACCCTGCAGCCCCCTCGGCCCACCCTCAGCATGCAGTGACCACCCCCGGCTCGGACCGCACTCACAAGAGATCCCGCCTGGCCGTCTTGCAAACTATGCGCAGGAAGCGCCAGCCGCCGCCGCCCACGTACACGCCAAACGCCGCCGCCGCGCTCCAGGTCCACGGGAGCCCCAGCAGCCAAAGCAGCACCAGTGAGACCATGGAGGCCGTGCCGGCACCCGGGGAGCGCATCCTGCAGACCAAAGGAACACTGAGGCCGCAGCAGCCGGCATCCCCGGACGCGCCCACTGGCCAACTCCGCCTACGGCCCGCCCTCACGGGGGCCCACCCCCAACCTGAGATTGGTTATTGCTTCAGGTCAGTCTCCACCTCCAGGCAGATCCTAAGGCCTCCCGGCAGAGCCCGGGGTTTTAGCCACACCCCACCTCCGAGTGGTTCCTCCCCAAGTTGGGCCACAAATCTTCTAGTTCCTAACCAGGTCCACGCTTTCCCGCCAATCGTTGGAACAGGCCCCGCCCCAAGCCCCATCTACCTCTGTTCCGGGTCCCAAACTGCACTCTCACGACTTGACTTGGCCCCCAGGTAACGAAGTAGGCCAATTTTTTCTACTCCAAGCCTGGGCCCGACCCATCCTTTCCTTCACGCCCCCTCACCGCTCATTTCACACCGCCCCCAGGTTCGGCTTCTGGCTCCACCTCCCCTAGCGCGAGCCACTGTCACCTCAAGCCCCGCCCCAAAACCGGGCCTAGCGGCGTTCCCAGGCCCAGGTTCTACCCTAGTCACGGCCCGCCCTCCGGCTTCGACCCGATCATCACCTTCCGGGCCTTGCTCCCGCCCACCTGACACCTAGGTCCCGCCCCACCTGCCTGTCCTGGCCTGCCTTAAGGCCCTCCTCAGACCTGTCTTGACTCACAACCCCTCAGCTGCATTGCCGTGGCCCTCCTGCCCTTTCCGGAGACTGCGACAATAGAGATTCCCCAGGACCAGAGAGACAACGGCCAACGAGACCTGGGGGCTAGAACGTCCGGCCCGTGGGGGGGAAGGGACAGCCTCTGTCTCCAAGACAACTAAAGCACTCCAGTCCCTAGGTTTCACTGACACGCGCGTCGCTCAGGAGTTGGGCATGGTTCGTGGGTGCTGGTTAGCTCCCTGGCGTTTCTGAGATTTGTTAAATGCCTTGGACGATGTAGGCTTTCCGAAGCTATAAATATTTATGGAGGCAAAAAAATTCATTTTTCTCCCGAGGAGAAAAATGCTTGTGGTCTCGAACTTCTTACCTTTTGGTTAGTCTAGTGTTTATTTTACAGAGCCACCGCGCTCCTGGTGCCTCTGATAGCAAACGGAATTCCTGCCCCGAGGACCAGAAAATCCTAATCCATATCCAAAACCCGCCTCTGCTGGATTCTTGCCCCATCTTGTCCCAACCAAACTCCAAACGCATTTCCCTCTGAAACACATATTCCAGATTCTTGGGAAATCCTACATTCACAAACAGTGGTGTCACTAGGATTGGTGTCACTTAATGTGATAACTCATGAAGTTACCACACCATGGACCCCCTATGGTAGCCAGTAATGTTTATTATCTATTTTAATAATAGGCGAATCAGGCTGCTAACCTCAAGGTCGGAAGTTCGAAACTACCAGCGATTCCGCGGGAGAAAGATGAGGCTATCTGCTCCCGTGAAGATTTACAGCCTCGGAAACCCTGTGTAGGGTCACTATGAGTCGAACCAACTCCACGGCACTAACAACACCAACAGTGTATGATAGATATAGTAGTAAATTGTTTAAATTGAATATTTCTTCCTTTTATATGACTGTTGTTGTTAAGTGCCATTGAGTGGGTTACGACTCATAGCGACCCTGTATAGGGTTTCCAAGGAGTGGCTGGTGAGTTTGAACTGCTGGCCTGCGGTTCAAACCAACTTGCTTTATCCTACAGTGCCACACCAGGACTCCTATATGACCATTAACAAAAAATTGTTTTGAAAAATCCTTCTACATTAAATTACAACATTATTCATAATTGAATGGAAGCCTTTTTTTCATTTGCCTCCTTTTCCTTCTTAAAAAAAAAACCCAAGAATTATTTACCATGATATTGAAGCTAAAACACCAGAAGATTTGACAAAATCACCAGCTATAAAAACACCAGCAGCAGTGAAAACAACAGTGTGTGTTTGTAGCATATGCAAAGTGTCATTGTAATTGGATAATTATGACACTATGACATGGCTGCCCAGCTCACATTACAGGTTCAGAGAGTAAATCAGCATAGTGTTTTCACCTTGTAGGTATATTGATACATGGAAGCTGAACTCTGGGAACTATTTTTGTTGTTATCACTTACTACAGTGATATTTTTATTTAAAATAATAGGTTTATGTTGAAACATTAATAAACATTTTGTTGTTGTTGTTGTTGTTGTTGTTAAGTGCTGTCGAGTTGTTTCCGACCCGTGGCGACTCTGTATAAGGTTTCGGAGGAGCAGCTAGTGAGCTTTCACATGGCTTTTCAGTCTGGCGCATTAATCCACAGCACCACACCAGGACTCCTTAAACATCTTATTGTTGTTTTGTGCCGTGGAGTCGGTTCCGACCCATAGCGACCCTGTACGGGGGTTTCCCAGGCTGTAAATCTTTACGAGAGCAGAAAGCCTCATCTTTCTCCCGTGGAACAGCTGGTAGTTTCGAACTGCTGACCTTGTGGTTCACAGCCCGATTCGTAACCACTACACTACCAAGCTCCTTAAACATCTTATAAACAGTCATTTTTGTATCAATCCCTCTGACAGTATCACTTCTATACCTCCTAGTGATGTCAGTTCCCCATAATGTCTTAAATTCAAATCCCAAAGCTCCCTCAAGTATATTCCAGAGGAAAGGCAAACTGTCTGGTCCTTCCAACATTTCCGGACTGCAGCTAATCTTAAAGCCATACCCCAGTATCTTGTCATTTAAATCTCAATGTCGTACTCCAGGATTCCAGAGCCCACACACCAGAATGTAACTAAAGGGGTCCAACAAATACTTTATTTGTACCCCCAAGGTTCTAAACTCTCACTCAGAGACCCCCAAAGTCCTCATCCAGACCCTTGGTTCGGCTGCCCGCATCCCTGTTCCCTGGCTGACCTGGAGCTTTGCACAGACCCTCACCGGCTCCCAGAGGCTCAGGCAGGTGGCAGGCAAGGACTGCTTGGTTTACCCAGGTTTCAGCAGCCACGGCCAGGCCCCCAAACCCCACCGAGCAGCGCAGTCTTAGTCTGACTACTTCTAGGGCTGCGGTCTCCTCAGACTCCCCGGCCCTATTCTGTTCCTCCTTCCAGCTCCCCTCTTCCACACTCTACCCACCCCGCCCCGCCCCCACTTGTTTTCTCCTCTACTTGGCTGACCTTCCCAGCTCTTAACGTGGGAGGCGTCCAGGGCCAGCTTCCAACACCCCTTGGAATACAAGGCCCAACAGGCACGCACAGTCCTCACACTGGCATTGGTCCTGCAGGCAGCCCAGGGAGGGTGGAATGGGAGCCAGCCGCTACATCCGGAGACCAGGCCTAGAGCCAGCACCTGGCCCTCAGCTTTCTGGATCAGTGGTTAGAGGTGCCAGCAATGACCCCCTAAGGATATCTGCAATCTCACCTGCCAGGTACTCCTGTTAACAAACCCATTTTACAGATGGGTAGTCCTGGGTCAGGAGCCCTAGTGTGGCACTGTGAGTTAATGCACTCCGCTGGACTGCAGAGTTGGTTTAAACTGCAGGGTCGGTGGTTCAAGCCCACCAGCCACTCCTTGGAAACCCTATACAGGGTTGCTATGGGTTGGAACCAACTCAACAACACTTCACAACAGTCCTGGGTCAGGAGTCCTGGTGTGGTTCTGCAGGATAATGCACTGGACAGCAAGGTCAGCTTGAACTGCAAGGTTGACAAGTTCAAACCCACCAGCCGCTCCTAGGAAACCCTATATGGAGTAGAACCGACTCCATGGCACTTAACAACCATCCTGGGTCAAGTCCTGGGGCTGAGTGTTAGAAATGAATTCCAATGTCACATAAAAGACACTTGGTGAGACTAAATTACCTTGGCAAAGCAAAATTTATTCCTGCAAGAGGGTGCGTGCGCCAGGAACAGGTCAGCGAACACACCAAGTGGGCAGTCTGCTCGGGTTTTTAATCCCTGATGTGAGTCTCAAGGCTGTGTCTCACCCCATTGGCTAGGGTTTTGACCGCACAATCTTCTGCCTTACTCAGTTGTCTAGTTCAAATTTCTAAGGTGCTCATTCCTATTTTAGGAAAGGAAAAGGAAAGATCATAAAGTTTCTGCTTCCTTCAGGAAGTAGTCAAAGAAAAAGAGAGAGATCACAAAGTCTTTACTTCAGGAAGTAAAGAAAAAAAGAAAGGTTACCTGAATACAATAAACAGGATTATAATATATATATATATGTTGTGTTTTTTTTCCATAGAGTTAGGATTCACTCACCAGTGTCAGCTGATTGTTGCCCCTCTTTTATCCTCCACTCTGGTAGCGTAGTGGTTACGAATCAGGCTATGAACCACAAGGTCAGCAGTCGAAACTACCAGCTGTTTCGCAGGAGAAAGATGAGGCTTTCTGCTCCCGTAAAGATTTATAGCCTCGGAAACTCTGTACAGGGTTGGAAACCAACTCCATGGCACATAACCACCACCTCCTTCCTCAGCCCTCATTCACACCCTAACCCCCCACTTCCTCCCTCCTTCCTTCTCTTCCCTTGCTTCTTCCGGAGTCTCCTTCCCCTCCTCCCTCTTCCTTCCACCAGTCTCTTCCATCCTTCTCTACTCTGTTCTCCCCTCCCCGTCTCTCCTTGTCTTCTTCTTTCATCCTTCCCCCTCCTCTTCTACTCTCTGTCTCTACTCACCTTTCCTCGCCACCACTTTCTTCCTCCTCTCCCTCTCCCCTTTTCCTATTCCATTTGCTAACCCCTTCCCCTCTTCCCTTCCCTTCCTTCCTCCTACCCCTCCTTCTTTTTGTCTTCCTCCTCATTAGCTGTTACTGGGATGGAGGGGGAGCCCTGACCCTTCAATGGGGGGGGTGTTTTGCTAACCAAGAATAATCAGGTTAGACATACAGTTTCACTAGAGCAAAAGATTTATTGACAGGAAAAGACCTGGTCAGAGGAGAAGAAGAGGGTCCTAATATCCCCAAACAGAGGCTTTGCTGGGGTTTCAAAGATTTTAGGTGGGGAAAGGCATCATGTT